GACGACGTGCGTTTCTTGACGTAATTTTTGCGTGATATGACGTCGTCCATGATTCCACAGTTCCTCACTTATAAGGAATAGAAACTAGCCTGGATAACAATCCAAAGTTCCAGGCAATGTACGGGTTATAATTGGTCGGAATTTTGATTTTAACTGCAATATTCATATGAATTATCAATTGGTGAATTTCATCCCAAGTTACGAGAGAATCAGTCCTGATTACGCGTGAGATTACGTGAATTTGACGTGAACGTTTGGCTTTCAGTACAAGCCGAAGAATTGGCGTCTCGTCTTGCGAACATTCATTTCGACTACGTTTTCACGTCACCCTACGATCGATGCGTAGAAACCGCTGTAAGGATTGTACGTGAACGTAAACTACCGATCAACGTCGAACCTGGTCTTTCTGAGGTGAACCAGAAACAAAAAATTATTTCCAGTCCCAAGTGGTTTCGTTTTCATGTGCCGAAAATCGCACACTTCATTCCGCTCTTTCTATCATCTTCAGTGAATTTCGTATGGATGCTTATGAATCGAGAGTTTTGTTCACGTCAATTTTAAGCAATATTCATTGGTGACAGAATTTTAGGTGCTTTGCCTTTGCGAGAAACCGGCTGGTTTCCGAGCACTGTCACTGCTGAAAGAAACATATCCATTGATCAACGTCAACTATGTGCCAGTATGTTTTGAGACTTTTTCAGGCGATTTTTATGTAACAAACACGACAAAGAATTATGACTTCTTTAAAAACCTATTTTCAATTGTTGTTACTCGATGCAACAGGAAAGTCACTCCAAATACGTACAGAAATTTTTGTGGTAAGATAATTGTTCAACAGTGTGTTTTGTTGAATCTTTGTGATACTTTGAATGGGTTCTAAATGCGGAATTTTTTGGACTGTCGAACTTTAGGTGTATGCTCGTAGCGATCTCGACTACGCATTTGAGCGTCTTCATTGTGATTGGGTTTGTGTGCCTCGTACACGAACCACACTGCAGTCTATTGTTGATGACTACCGTGGTTAGAACCGCTGTTTTGAAATTCTTTTCCTATTTTCGGCTTCAGTTATGTCGCCAATGCGATACACTTGTTATAATGAATGTGAAACTTGAATTGTAATCATCTCATGTGTACCGTCTTCTGAATTTAATATTTTAGAGTTTGAATTTAAGCAAATTTTATGGTTTTGACTTTCCAAACCGTTCAGATTTAGTCAGCAACTCTTCATGGTTTCTATCCTGGAAGCGGTTTCCGTTTCAGGTTCGTTGTTGGTGGTTACGCATGGTGCTGTGGTCGGTGCGATTCACGAGATTGTAACCGGAAAGTGGAGTTCCGTCGGTCAAGCAACTGTGTCGAAATTCACTCGTTTCAGAAGCGAACAAGGTTTCGTCTGCGAATATAGCGGTGATTCGTCACATCTTAGTAGTTTGGTGAACCTACGAGCGTTCTGAAAGAAAAAAAAGTTGTTCTCATAAGCAATTGAGCTTCGTGAATGACCGATAAAATAGGAAAGTCAAATGACCAGTTGCGGTTTTCATCTTGTGTTGATTAATGAAAATTTGACGATATTGATGCATTTGATTCATCTTGCATTTGATTCATTCATCTATTTGATTCATCTTGAATGTATGTAAATAATAAAAGAATAGTTTGTTATGTTACTCAATTTGCATTTTCATAATATTGTT